ACAACAACAAGACTATTGAATTGTGGGATCAGTTATTGAATTATTTATTTTTGTTTTGTTTTTTTTGTGGTCATCTTATAAGTCTGTGAAGTGTCTTAAACCACAACAACAACCACAACAGCAATGGTTTTAGACGTGTTTGGATCAGTTCGTAGTCTAATTAAATTAGATTCCGTCTGTATCGACAACAATGTCTTCCGATTGCATTATAAGGCGACCGTCATATTTCTGGTCGCTTTTTCATTGTTGGTCACATCCAACCAATACTTTGGTAATCCTATTGAATGTATACAAAGGTTTGTTGTGACCATCGCTTACTTCTTCCTCCACACTTCTACCACTAATTGTTTTATTTGTTTAACTATTATAGGGATGACATACCAACCAACTTATTGGACACGTATTGTTGGTATGTATTATATCATCTAATGTCTAGTCTATACCCATATTGTSTATCCTATATATGACCATCTGTGTGGTGACAATACTAATTGATCCATAAAAACTAAAACAATGTGTGTTTATATAACTATATATATATATAGGATTCACGCAACATTTACACTGCCTGATGCCCTAAACAAAAAAATCGGTGTCGAAGTACCCCATCCGGGCATCGATAAGTATACACCGGGCGAAAAGCGTGTCTACCATAAGTACTACCAGTGGGTGTGTTTCGTACTATTCCTCCAGTCCCTCATGTTCTACGTTCCCCGTTATCTATGGAAACTGTGGGAAGGCGGCCGACTCAAGAGTCTGGTTCTGGGTCTGAATATACCCATTATGCAGGACAAAGAAAAGAAGGAACAGATCAGCCTATTGGTCGACTATCTGAAAGCCAATATGCGTTACCATAACTCCTACTTTTTCTACTTTGTCTTCTGCGAAGTACTCAACTTTATCAATGTTATCATTCAAATGTATTTGATCGATGCCTTCCTCGGCGGTGCGTTCAGTACGTACGGTCTGGATGTACTGAAATATACGGAAATGGATCAGGAATCCCGTGTGGATCCAATGATATCCGTTTTCCCCCGTATGACCAAATGTACGTTCCATCGGTACGGTTCATCCGGTGATGTCCAACGACACGACGCCCTCTGTATACTACCGCTGAATATTGTTAACGAAAAAATCTATATATTCCTCTGGTTTTGGTTCGTCTTTTTGGCCATAATTTCCGGCATTATTCTCATCTATCGTCTGGTAATCATATTCTTTCCGCACTTGCGTTACGTTACCCTCAGATCGCGGGCCCGACTAACCGATCGAAATCATCTACGAATTGTAATGGACGCCGCAAAGATTGGAGACTGGTTTCTCCTGTAAGTCATAATTTTATTACTACTACTACTACTGTACCCATAGATACTGTCTGTCTATCTCTTAGATAGATAGAGAGAGAGAGACTGTTCCTCAATATAATATATCAAACCTGTTAATCAAGTTTTTTATTTAAAATATTAATGATATTATTATGATCTCTAACCCACCCAACCCAACCCCCCCCCCACCCATTGATAATGTGTTTTATTAATTATTTGTTTTATTTTTTGGACAGTTATTTATTGTGCAAGAATATGGACGGCCAAAACTTTAGGGAACTAATGCAAGAATATTCTAAAGAAGCAGTCGGTGACGGTTCCGGTAAAAACCTATTGCCATACAATGAGAAGGAAGGCCTAACGTCTACACCTTAATTGCTATCAATATATAAATATATATATTTAAAAAAAACTATTACTTTTTTTTCCTTAAAAAATGCTTTAGGATTTCCAATTAATTTTTCCAATTATTATTATTATGATTCATAAAAATATATTTCATACACACACACACACACACACACACACACACACACACACACACACACACACACAAAATAATGGTTAGTGTTTATATATATTTACAAATATTGATTGCCAAAAAATAATAATATTTTATATACACATTTTTATAATCAGACCATTTTTTGTAGTTTTTTTTAAAAAATAATTATTATACAATTACCGTAATTAAGTTAAACAACAACAACAACAACAACAAAATACAATAAGTTTATTATTATAAAAAAAGCCTTATTTACAATTTTGTTAATTAATATACAGTAATTATCATGAATTGAATGGATTTTTTTATATATCTATGTTTTTTTTGATAATACAAAAAGAGATTGTGTATAAAACACTTTTATAATCACACAAATTTTTTTTGATACATAAAGAGATATAAATATATATTTTTTATAATTTAATATTTTTACAGTATATATATATATAGATTAATAATATATATCTGGATTAAATATTTATTATTAATAATATTACCCCTAAAAATGATAAAAAATTATTTTAGGAATTTTCTATTATTTTTTATTACTTTATATATATATATATATAAGTAATAATATAAATGAATAGTGTTGTGAATTAGTAATAATAATAATAATAACTCGAAAACATTTTTTAATTAATAGCAACACTGCCATAGAATTAAAGCACGAATTTTTTTATATAAATTAATTTTTTAATTTTATAAATCTTATAATATATATATATATTTACTTTAGTGTTAATGAACTTAACGTAATAATAATAATATTATTAACATTCAATTGGGATATTTGGCAAATTTATAATAAAAACAAATATATATATATACTGTTTATGTGTGTGTTTTTATTATACTAAAAATATTTTATATATATATATATATAGGTGCCAAATAAATATTTGACTTTTTTTTATAAATTTAATATACAAAATTTAGCATAACCAATTTATGTATACACACATATATTTATACACAAAAATGACCATTTTATGTGAATGCATAATTTTTTTTAAAAATTATATTAATATATATTATATATGTTTATTAATGTCTATTTGTGTCCAATTTATATATATATATATATATATATATATATTTAATCATATATTTAATCAGTGATCTCATAGTCTAAATTTTTTTTAATAATAAATAGCAATAATACACATAAAACTTGTTTATAACAAATGTTGTTTGCATCATATCTTTTATACTGTAATTTTCTATATAAATTGATTATTTGAAAGCAATAGTTTGTTTATTATTATTATTATTATTATTATTATTACATATACATATATATACACATAAAAGTGTGGTTGATTTTGGGACTCAATTATAATATATATATATATTTATATATCTAATTATATAATCTTATTGTTAAAAAAAGCATTTTTTTAAAAAAATATGAGCTGCAGTTTATCATTATTATAATAATTATGAGCCGTATTTTTTATATGTTTATATATTTCCTAACATTGGATATATTATATGTATATTTTTTTCTTAAAAACGGCATTTCAAATGTTATTATGAAACACTAAACTAATAAAATACATAAATATATTTTACGTATATTTGCGTATATTTTTTATCTGTACTTTTTCTTTATAATTATAAGTAATTTAAATAATTTTTTATTTAATAAAACAAATAATAAAAATAAATGACAAATAAAAAATTTTTTGAAATAAATTTATAATTGTGTTTTATTTATTTAATAATTTTTTAATATCAACTAAATAATTTTAACAAGCTAAATTTATTATTATTTGTATAATATTTTTAAAAAAATTATTTCAACATTTTATTGCCTTATCGTTTTTTAATTATAAATATATGATAAATAAAATTATTTCATGTATTATTCATACCATTGATTATAATTTTAAATATTTATTAATTCACTGATTATTATTAATATTATTTGAGTTTTAACACACTATTTGTATTATATATATATATATATATATGAGATAAGAATGGAATTATTTATATTAAATAAATAAATAATAAAATTAAACTAATAATAAAAATCTGCTAATATTTTAATTTAATTTTTTGACAACAAAATCAAATCTATTTCAAGGTTTAATTAAAGTTAGTTATAATAAGGTTTTTGCTATAATAATAAAATATTTTTRAAAATATGATGTATTAATAGTTGGAATATATTATTATTAATAAAACTTAAATATATAAACTAATATTTTTTTATTATTCCTGTATTATAATTATAAATTCTAATAATAATATATATATTTTTAAAAAATTAAGTTAAATTTTTTTGAATAAAATATATATCAGATTATTACTCAACAAATAAATCTATTTAATAGTAAAAGTTGATAATTATTTTTTTTTACCGGCGACACTAAAATACTGTATATATTTATATATATATATATACTGTATGTATAGATAATATAATAATAAATTTACTTATAAAAAAAAGTTAAATATTAAATAGTGATTACAAATATATAAAGTTATTAAAGATATTACTGTTTTGCTTATCATATAAATAAAATTTAGTATGTATTGAGAAATATAGAGGTTTCCATAGAAAGTGATGATTATATTACTGTATTCAATGAAATTTACTTTAATTATATAGTTTTTTCTATAATTATTATTATTACCAAATAAAAAAATAGATAATAAAATTTTTAAAAATAATAATAATAAACACTATATATTAATTATTAGTTTTGTTTTATAATTTACTCAACAAAAAATTCAAGTTTCAAAATAATTACTACATTAAAATGCAAGAAATTTTATTATTTTGTTGAAAAATTATTTTGCGAGTAAATAACAAATAATAATAATAAACAAAACAAAAATAAATAAATAAATTTTTCCAATAAATATTACACACTGTATTAAATAGATATAATTAAATCCATTATTTAAATATTTATATTAATACTTAAAAAATAAAATAATTATAACTTGAAATGTTTTAGTCATAGGATATTAATAAAATATTTTTTGAATAATTACTATACAAAAAAATTACTAAATTTATTACTGTATCATACATTTAAATTAATATTATATTATTATTAATATTATTAACAAATATAGTATAATTAATATCTGGGGTCAATCTCTATGCATAATTAATGAATTAATTTTAATTAACTGTTTTTTATATGTTTGTATGTGTTTGTACTGTATATGCATTCCTAACAAAGCTAACTATGATATTAAAAACTATTAGCAATTAGTTTAGGAAAAAAACAATAATAATAATAAGTAATATTAATAAATATTACTAAACTTTTGTTATTTGTTTTAATAAATTATCAAAATTAATATAAAAATTATATTTTCCTTTTAAGAGTGTATAGAAAATAATAATAATAAACTAAAACTAATTTGTCCTTAAAATTCAAGTCAATTTTTTTAATTGAATCAAATATTTCAATAATAACTTTATTAAGTTAAGTAATTGACTAGAATTAATGGCATTTTAAATAAAAATAAATGGTATTTAATTAGCAAATATTATTAAAAATAGTATATAAATAAAAATATATATATTGATATTAATTGGATTTTAAATGGCTATCATTTTCAATATTATTAGTAAATGATTATATCCAATTTTGTTAATTAAATACAGTATAAATAAATATTTATATATATTATACCAATTATATAGTGTATGTTTAATGCTAATTATTATTATTAATATTAATGCATTGAAAAATCTATATTATTTATCAATTGAATATATAAATATATATTTTTAATTTATTAATTTTATATTATATAAAAAGCCATATTATAATATATATATTATATAAAAGTTATAAAACTCGTTATATTATAGCAACAAAACTTATATATATATATAAAGCAAATATAAAAAAACTTATACACAAAAACCCGGAATACGTGTTTCAATACAAGTTTAGTATTATTATTATTATTATAACTATTTGTTTGGCAACTATTTATTATTAATATATTAATAGTATTATTAGTATTATTAACCAGCAGTAGGCCCTGTACTATGCATTGATCAATGATTTTAATGTGAAAATAAATATATGTATTATACTGTAGTATTTGTTGGAAATGTTGGAAATCTCTGTATAGTAAAGTGTATAGTAAAGAGGGGGGTAAAAATGGGGGGATAATCGTTTGGGGTGTAGGTTATGACTGTGAGAGAGGGGGGGAGAAACCTGTAGATTATGGGGGGGGTAGACACTGTAAAGTTTGGTATTATATATGAATGCGAAAGAGAGAGAGAGAGAGAGAGAGAGAGAGAGAGAGAGAGAGAGAGGCAAAGCAACAGTTGGCAAATAGGAAGGTTGATATAAATTAATGGTAAAGTCATAGATAATACACTGTAGTATACAGTGTACAGTACATGTATGTATGTGTGGCACTTGTAGCTGTATGTAGCACTTGTAGTCCATTTAGTTTACTATTAATGTTTTAACTATGCTGTTATTAGTTAGGCTGTGCGCTTCTATTACTACATAGTTCCCTATATATAAAAATATATTTCCCGACGTCCCTCGTGAAAGTGACCCCCCCTTTTTAAACCCAAAAGTTTTTTTTTCGTTGGTCCAGTTTGTCCAGTGAGGAGGACAGTGGTGTTATAGTGTCATCATATGATATAAACTGTTAAAACAACAACGACAACAACAAAATGTTTCAATTGTTTGGTAGTTTGAAACCATATCTCAAGCCGAGCTCATGTACTATCGATAATAATGTATTTCGATTGCACTACAGGGCAACGGTACTCATACTAGTGGGATGTAGTCTAATGGTAACCGGTATGTTGTGTGATGTCTTCACCAAAAATTAAAAAAAAAACTTTATAACCATATGATAATATATGCCATCATATAATTAATTCAATTTGTATTTTCAATTTGTATGTATGTATATATGTATGCCATATATATATATATATATAGCCCGCCAGTACTTCGGCGATCCAATCGATTGTATCTCCAAAGATGATATACCATCCAATCTTCTGGGTCTGTCATTCATTATCATTGTCGTCAAAATTACGGATCAATTGTTAACCAACTTTTTTTTTGTTTGTTTGTTTCTATTAAAAAAAAACTATAGACACGTACTGTTGGATTCATACGACATTCAGTATAGAAAATGCATGGAAAAAACGGGTCGGCGATGAAGTACCGTATCCGGGAGTGGACAAGACTACACCAAATGAAAAGCGAGTCTATCACGCCTACTAYCAGTGGGTGTGTTTTGTATTGTTTTTTCAGGCCATCTTGTTTTATGTGCCCCGCTATCTGTGGAAAGCCACGGAAGGCGGCCGTATGAAAAACTTGATCCTCGGTCTGAATAATCCGATATTGGATGAGACCAGCAAAAACACTAACCGCGCACTACTGGTTGAATATCTATAYAAAAATCTGAACCATCACAACACCCTATTCATAATGTATTCCGTAATGGAAGTACTGAATCTGTTGAACGTTATACTTCAGATGATAATAATGGACCGATTTTTGGGCGGCGAGTTTACCAACTATGGCTGGGATGTGATCAACTTTACCGAATGGGACTGGTCGGTCAGATATGATCCGATGGTCAGTTAGTTTATATTAATCATTACTATACGGGTAGTAAAACTCTTGTTTGTTTGATTGTTTGTTTGTCGGATCAGATAAAAGTGTTCCCACGGTTAACAAAGTGTACATTCCATCGATACGGTTCCTCCGGTGATGTCCAGAAACACGATGCCATGTGTATACTGCCCATCAATATCATCAACGAAAAGATCTACATATTCCTCTGGTTTTGGTTCTACTTTATGGCCATTGTCAGCGTCATTGCCGTCATCTACCGGGCCATAACAATAGTTGTACCGCGAGTCCGATTTTTGGCCACCCATTCCCGTTGCCGAGTAGCCAATCGGGACGCTCTGAGCCATGTGATCAGTCAGGCCAGTATCGGCGACTGGTTTCTACTGGATTTGCTGTCGAAAAACTTGGATTCACTAAACTTTAAGGATTTAGTTAAAGATTTTTACAGTCGTTTAGAGGGAAAGGGAGCCGACAGTCTATAACCCGATAGAAAAAATATATCTAATTTTTTTTTTAWAAAAAAATACCAATTGTTTGAATTCAAAAATCAAAAGTTTCAATCAAATATTATTAATATTATCACTATTTTTTTWAAATTTTATATTTAATAAGTATATCTATTAGTAAATAAGTTAGTTAGCTATCTATCATTATATATATATATATATATATATATATATATATGATATAAATATTTATACACTATATATATATATATATACTAATTAATAATTTACAATTTAAAGGGAACAATACTTACAATTAGTAGTGTTTAGTTTATATTCAAATTTTTGTTTGTTTCATAATTTAATTTTACTTATTTAGCTAACTATATATATATATATAGTATGTATAGTAAGCGATTCATTCATAAAAATATGATATATTATATGTTATTTTTATTATAAAAAAAAATTATTTGCAAACACTGCCAAAATCTAAATGACTAAACACAGTGTTTTAGTTTATATGGGGGGACCACTCCTATATTGGGACCACATTTTTTAGATAATTTTTTTATATATATAAAAATAATAATTTTATATCAATTACCAAATTTCTATATTTATATCAATATATTTACTGTATATTTGCCAAATTTATATATATCAATATATATCAACCAAATCAATGGTAGAAATTTATTTTATTTTTTATATTAAGATAAATATATATCTAAATATTTTTGATACACATATATATATATTTTTTTTGAGAGGGGATATACTTGTAATAATATGAATCAATCAATAATATAGTTTCATAACACAAAAAATTTTGTTGTCCAATATTTAATAAATATTGATCTCTTAATTGATAGCAATCATCCAAATATATATATATATAAATAACTTATAAAACATATTCATAATTTAAATGAGAATAAAACCAATTAATAACTGATTGAATTCATATTAAACAAAACAAAACAAAATGATAGCATAATTGTCGAAATAAAATATTATTACATAATATTATTTTAAAAAATAATAATTATATAGTTTTTTTAATAACAATACACAAAAGTGACCTATTTTTTTATATTCAAAATAATAATAATAATCATGAATATAATATATATATATATATCTATAAGCAATAATTTATATTAATTTTTTTGTCTGTTATTAATATTTACAGTATATATACATTTATATTTCGCATATTATTATTAAATTAATAGTAGTTTATATTATAATTTTATACAAACATATATATATTTAGATACATATATTTATACATTTAAGAGTTATTTTTTTCAAAGATTATATTTGTGCTTTATTTTTATATTTATATATCAATTATTGATACAAAAAAAATAATAATACAAATGTTTATAAAATCAAAATTAACTAAATTGTAAGAAATTACTAAATTTTGGTATTCAATACTAAATTCAATAATATGAAAAATTATATTTAATTTTTTTTTTAAATAAGACACTAATAATGTTAGAATTAAATGCTAGAAAACCAAAATTTAGTAATTTTATTATATATATATATTTTTTTTATATAAAAAAATTTAAATTTATATTAATTGTATGCAATTTTCTTGATGGTTAGTGAAAAAAGTTTTAGGAATTTATTTTTAATATTATCTATAAATTTATTTTTTGTTTAAATTTTTTTATGTGTGTTTGTGTGTGTAATACTTGATGTGATTTATCTAATGTTCAAAAAAAAATTATGCAATATTTATATATAAAAAAAATATATTTATATAGATATCAATCAAAACGTTCCAAACTTTGCAATACAAACAAAATAATAGTTATATTTATATTATTATTAAAAAATTATATAAATTTATAAATTGATTGTATAATTAACTAAAAAATATAATATAATATTTATATATATATAAAATTCGTAAACAGGGTTATGTTGTAATGTTATGTCTATAATAATATAATAATAATAATAAATTTAAAAGGTCTTCCCAAAAGTAGAAATATATATTGCAATTATATATTATTTTATTTTATTTTTTTGTTAAATAAAAATTTATATATTATCGTAACTAAAATATATTTATTATTTTTTTTTTGAAAAATGTTGATTAATTTGTTTAATGTTTTTTCTTAAAGAAAACTTTTTAAACATCAAAAAAAAGTGACAACAAATAACAATATGACAACAATTACTATATTATTATTTCCGTATATATTGTATATTGTTTTGTTGTTGATGTTCATTGATGTTATATACACACGGTATGGTTATGGTATGCTATATGGTTTGGTAGGTAAGTCTAGTAGGTATTGCACACTATGATGCTTATGGCACTGTAGAGACATATAGTATTACCTGTAGTAATAGTAGTACTACTACTATTGATAGCACCAGAAAATAAAAATGCTTAGCAAATAACTATAAGTGATTACACCATCAGACCAGTGTTGGTAGTGTTTTTGAAAAGCAATTCATCAGAGAGTACAGTGATCTCTCTCTCTCTCTCTCTCTCTCTCTCTCTCTCTCTCTCTGTCTGTCTCTCTCTCTCTCTCTTTCAGCCAGTATTTAGCCATTTAAACAAAAGCAATCGTTTTTGTTGATAAGTGAAATGTGCCCTAAAGGCACTCCACACTTGAAGACACAGTTGTCTTTTTTTTTTAAATATATAAGTTTTGAAACGACCATTTCGATTGGTGGTTCCTTCCAACCCAACAGTCTCTCTCTCTCTCTCTCTCTCTCTCTCTCTCTCTCTCTCTCTCTCTCTCTCTTTATCTATAAAACTAGAGAGAGAGAGATAACAGTTGCTGTTTAAAAGCTAACATTCTTTAAACATTGCCCTCAAAATAAGTCAACCAAACCAACAAAAAATCAAAGGCAACTCTATGTGGAGTTTTGGCCATAGACTACAAGCAATAGGAATAGTAGTAATAGTGTTTTTTTTTTCTGGAAACCCAAAACCCGTCAAACCAGACCCCAAAATATATAGCTCCATAGGCTGGCCATAACTACAGTGCCACGGTTCAAACGATAGCCCTCTATATAGTARTAGTAGTAGTAGTTGTTTAACCTAACTGACTACTGGTAGTACTGTAGTAGTAGTAGTACTGTGTCGAGTAGTATWTATATATATATTGTGTGTGTATGTATTATATGAGTTCCTCTCTGCTCTCTACTCTCTGACCGACGCCCTAAAGGCCCTTAAGCCCTGAGTTTTTCCCACACATTCGCGCACACAGACACTGGGAGTTTGACACACACACACACAGTAGTAGTACTAGTAGTATAGTAGACAATAGTGTCATATATATTAAAAAAAAAATTTATGCCACAAAATCGGGTTTAAACACCAACACCAATACCAACAACAACAACAACAACACCAACGATAATGTTTCAATTGTTTGGTAGTCTTAAACAGTTTCTCAAACCGAGCTCATGTACTACTGATAATAAAATATTTCGATTGCACTACAAGGCAACGGTACTCATACTAGTGGGATGTAGTCTTATGGTAACCGGTATGTCCACCAACTAAGATATGCAATATATATATATATACTGTATATGATATTTATGCCAATTGAATATATATATATATATATATAATTTAAATGCTATTTAAATTTTCTGTGTGTTATATATAGCCCGCCAGTACTTCGGCGATCCAATCGATTGTATCTCAAGAGATGATATACCACCCAATCTTCTGGGTTTGTCATTCATTATCATTGTTGTCATTTAAAAATGACGGATCAATTGATTTATAATTTTTGTTTGTTTTGTTTGTCCCAATAATAATAGACACGTACTGTTGGATTCATACGACATTCAGTATTGAAAATGCATGGAAAAAACGGGTCGGCGAAGAAGTACCGTATCCGGGAGTGGACAAGACTACACCTAACGAAAAGCGCATATATCACGCCTACTATCAGTGGGTGTGTTTTGTACTGTTTTTTCAGGCCTTGCTTTTCTATGTTCCCCGATATCTGTGGAAAGCCATCGAAGGCGGCCGCATGAAGAACTTGATCCTCGGCTTAGACTATCCGATCTGTAGTGAAGATGTCAAAGCAAACAATCGGGCACTTCTTGTTGAATATCTATACAAAAATCTCAATCAACACAATATGATGTTTCGGTTTTATGTCGTCACCGAATTGCTGAACTTCTTGAACGTTATACTTCAGATGATACTTATGGACCGATTTTTGGGCGGCGAGTTTACCAACTATGGCTGGGATGTACTTAGTTTTTCCGAATGGGACTGGTCGGTCAGATACGATCCGATGGTCAGTCATGTTTTTTTTTTATATTAATCATTACTATACGGGTAGTAAACCTCTTGTTTGTTTGTTTTGTCGGATCAGATAAAAGTGTTTCCACGGTTAACCAAATGTACATTCCATCGATACGGTTCCTCTGGTGATGTCCAGAAACACGACGCCATGTGTATACTGCCCATCAATATCATCAACGAAAAGATCTACATATTCCTATGGTTTTGGTTCTACTTCTTGGCCATTGTCACCTTCATAGCACTGGTCTATCGTGCGATAACCATATTTGTTCCCCGTGTCCGCTATCTGGCCACCCAATCACGTTGTCTGACCAATCGCGACGCCCTGCATTCAGTGTGCAATCAGTGCCAAATCGGCGATTGGTTTGTAATTGATTTGCTGTCCAAGAACTTGGATCCCCTGAACTTCAAAGACCTGATCCTTGATTTCTATCGACGAATGGAAGGCAAAGGAGCTAATGGTCTATAAAAACGAAACAATTTTTTTGTATGTTTTTTGGTTTTATTTGTTTAACAACTGATATAACAACCCGTAATGATTGAGTCCAACGAATTATATGATTAATATTAATATTAGGTTTTAATAAGAGATACAATTTTTTATATACATTTTTTTTGTGACAATTTTATATACAATTTTTTTTTAATTATTACTATTATATTAGATTATGATAAATATATATTTTATATACAATTTTTTTTTTATTTAGTTAATTATACATTTTTTAAATAATATCTTTAAACAAAATATCAATTGAGAAAAGATGATGACCAAAGTCCAGACCACTAGTTTATATACAATTTTTTTTAATACAATTTTATAAAAAAAAATAATATGATTTTTTTGTGAATCATATCTCAATAAGATACTTAATAATCTATTTATCCGTTTTTTTAATTATTATTATTATATACAATTAATGTACACACAATAATTATTTACACAATTTTTTTATATACATGTTTATTATCAATTTTTATATATATATATAATAATAATTATTTGATACAAATTTTTTTACAACAATCATATATAGGAATTGTAATAATAATAATATGATAGTAATTAAAAGCTCGTTGTGATCAATGATTTTTTTTATTACAAATAAAAAAAATCATTTGAAATAACAGGACACACACACATCAAACAAAACAATCGGACCAATAGTTTATTAATAGTTAATTAAAAAAAAAATTAATTATATAACTATTAAATTCAAAGTTATTGGCCCAACATTTTTAAAAAAAAAAATAACATTTACAGACATATATATAGATATAAAAAATATATATATATAAACATTTAGTCCCATTTAATGAATTAACGTAATGTAATAATAATAATATTGTAAGTGACCTTATTTTACATGTTTTTTTTAGAAAAAAAAATTATTAATTAATATTATTATTATTATGATTATGAAAAGTCAGAGCAGTAATAATAATAATTTAATAATTATTATTATTAACTAATAATAATAATTTCAACATTTTTTTTGTCATTCATTTAATTTGGATCTCCATAAACACACATTTTTTTAAAAAATAATTATATCATTTTGTATACTGTTTTTTATATCAAATAAAATTTACAATCATTTTTTTATATATATTTTTTTTTAATAATCACTGTGCGTTTGTCTAAATTTTTTAAATTATTAATTTTTTTTTAAAATTATAAATAACACTTAAATTATATATCATATTAGTTGCCAATTATTATTATTATTATTTTTTTAATAGGAATTTTTAGTTATTGTTTTTCAAGATTCTCTAAATAAATACATAAATAATTATAATTATAATTATGACGTAAAGCTTCAATAATTTTTGAATTGAATAAACAAATGTTTAATTTATTATTATTATTATTATTATTATTAATTATAATAAACAAAATACAAGTACACAATATGTTAAAGTAATAATAATAATAATAAATAGTTTTTAACACCAATGAAATTATTGTTATGATAGCCAAAATAATAATAATAATAATAAGCACTAATCTAATTAGGATAACCTAATTTAAAATTTTTACCAAATAGTTATTATTGTCTATACATTCATATAATAATACATTTTTATTAAATTTTAGTTAAAAAATTATTTTTGACTAAAATTTAATTTTATTCAAATTTAACAAACAAAAAAACAAAAATTATCTAGTTTATAATACTATCCATAGTTATTATTATTATTATTCTATATATTTATTTCTAGTTAGTTTTTATTAAAAAAAAGCTATAACTATAGCTAAATAATTAAATTATTTAAATTGTTTAAAAATTACTAATTATATTATAACTAAATCAACAACAACAAAATTAATTAATTATAATTATACAGTGTATATTATAAATGTTAATTGTACATGCGTATTTTTTGTAAAATAAAACATATATTGTACGTAATATATGTAATATAATTTTTATAAAAAATAATAAATATATGACATCACTAGTCGCATGAATATTCAATAATAATAATATCAATAATAATACACACAATTCTACAGTACTATTGATATTTAATACAGTATTACAGTCCAAAAAAAAGTGATGAAATAATTATTAAAAATTTCATCATATATTGTGTAAAAATTTTATTTATTACTTATTAATTTACCCCCTATTTTACCCCCATATTTAATCCCTATATTCCTATCCCATACTATAGATTCTGATTTAATTTAATTTAATATTATTATTATTTTTTAGATATACTATATTAATATATATAGTATATAATATAGAATAGCACCTGGTCAAAAATTTTATTGTTTTTGTTACCTGGGCTATTTTTAAATAACCTGTATATTACTACGGGGAGGGGGTATAACCGGGGTATGTCCTCAACAACAACAACAGCAGCACCGGTAGTCAGCACTGGCTGGTCATGGATTGTCATCAATTCGGTGCCCACACGACTGATTCACTATGGATTCAATACTACTACTGCCAGTAATACCATTAGTAATGACCGCTTCTCTAGCGATAAGCCTATTATTGTCTTTATATCAGGTATTTTATAACTTATTTTATGATTTTTTTTATTTAAAAAATTTATTTAATTATAATTTATTTATTTTTTTTTTTATAAAAAATAGGAAATCCCGGTGAAGTATCCTATTATGAGGAACTACTGGCACTAATTCATATGCAAACTAAGCTATCGGTAATAGGATTATCACATGCGGGACATAATATCATTGATAACTACAGTAGTAATAATAATAATCAAACTAAACATAATAATGAAAGTATGATTTTATTTTAGTTTTATAAAAAATTAATTAAATTATTAGTATATAAACTAATAACTATATATCAATAACATCTGATCCAAAAAAAAATATATTTTAATTAAACAATAATCTAAATTATAAGATAATTTTTTTTATTAACATATCTATAATCTTTAATTTACTGTTTTTTATATATAAAAAAAATCAGATAAATATCTACTAAACGGACAGATAGACCACAAACGGCAGTTCATTGACAATCACTTATCCGGCGACTCAAAGATCATACTTATTGGTCATTCAATCGGCTGTTATATAATACTGGAGTTAATGGACGGCTGGGAAACTGTTCGCCAAAAAGTATTTATTTATTTATTTTAGTAATTTTTAAAAAATTTTAAATAAAAATTTCCTTTTTTTAAATTAGGTATTACATTCAATACTAATATTTCCGACAATTGAATCCATGGCCTCGACCAGTCAGGGCAGCAAATGTCAGTTTATGTTTCAATATTTCAAGTATCCTATACTGGCCTTAAGCTATCTATTAGATAATCTGAGCGATAGTTTTAAACGTCGTCTAATCAAACTGGCAATGGGCAGCACCGGCACCGGTAGCACCGGCACCGATAGTAGTAGTACAACACCACCAAACTGTGTGGTCAATGCTGCCATCAATTTATTTAATCCCAATTGTCTAATGAGATCCATTGAAATGGCATTAAACGAATTTAATTTAGTAAATGCTATTTTTTTTTGTTTATTATAATAATAATTTTTTTGTGTTTATTTAATTTTACTAAATAACCTTTATATATATATTTTTTTTGATCAAACAATTACCATAATAATAATTAATTAATACTACCCGTATATATATATATATATATATATATATATTTAAATACCAGTATTACGGTACTGTATAGTTATAAGTTATACATATTTTTTTAACACATATAAAAATTAGGATATAATAATTATAATAACCTTGGTTATATGATTTTCTGGTTTAAAATATTAGATATAATTAATTTTAATATTATAATAATATTTTTAATTATTATTTATTTTTTTGTTTGTTTGAAAGGTTAATGAATTGAATACCGAAGCTATTGCTGGTAATGAACAAAAGCTAACCTTTTTCTACGGCGATTGTGACCATTGGTGTCCAATAGACTACTACCAGAAAATCAGTCAATTGTTCCCAAACTGTGATATAAGACTTTGTCTACAAGACATTGATCACGCATTTGTTACCGACAGACAGTCCACTCATAGGATCAGTCAATTGGTTGTCGAGAAAATCCAATCAATCCTTTAATTTATTAGATTTGAAGAAAAAAAATTATAATTTTTTAATTGACTAAAATTTTTATACTTTAGTTTTCTATTATATTATTTATCAATTGATCTAATATATGCTGTACTGTAGTAGTAGTAGTAATACAATACAATGTGATATTTTTGTACCAAAAAAAAACAAACAAATAAAAATAAAATATTATCATAAATATAGATCTGTTAATTAAATTTAAAAATTTTGTTATTGAAATATTTTTAATAAAATTCATATATTATTAATAATATATTTTTTGAAAATTGAGAAAATTAATTAAATTGGAAATTAAGTATTTTTTTAAATATAAAGTAAATGATTTAATATTTTTTGAAAATTTCAAATAATTTTTTTTATGTTACTTTCTAAAAAAAAAAAATAAAAACTATTTTTCTAGCGTTCATTGCACTCATATATATTAGGAGATTATTTTGGGTACTCATCTCTCTCTCTCTCTCTCTCTCTCTCTCTCTCTCTCTCTCTCTCTCTCTCTCTCTCTCTCTCTCTCTCTCTCAGAGCACACACCAAATAAAATAAATTGTCACAACATATGAAACATCCTAAACATTTGAGAGACAATAATAATAATAATAATAATAATAATAATATGACTTTCAGATGATTGCAATTAAAGTTTTACTGTACGGAAAAATGCTAGACATTTGCAAAAATTTGAAATTTTATTCTCATTTAATTTATATAATAATAATAATAATAATCATTTTAATGGATATCATGTAATGACCTGCACTTTATGTCATATGTAAGTATTGAGAGTTTATTAATTTTTTTTAAATATTTATAAAATAATAATAATTTTAACAACTTTTTAAACTTTATCATCTATCAATAATAAATCTATTATCATATTATTAAAAAAATTATATCAATACATTAAAAATAATAATTAAGATAATTATTGCTATGTCTAGTAAATTGCAATTTAATCAAAATTTAGGTTTAAATTATTATTTTTATTCAAACTATTAATAGTATAAATTTTAACTATTATAATAAAAATTAGTATTTTTTTATTTTATCTTAATTGAATTTTCTCACTTATTATATCTATGATTAGAGATTGCAAATTGATAATTGCATACAAATTTTAAAATACAAATTATTATTATTATGTAATTAAAAGCGCAATGAATATTACATATATATATATATTGATTAATTGAAAAAAATACATATTAGTGATAAATTAAAAAATTATATTAACTTACTGTTTATAATGTATATATAATAAATGATTACCAAAAACACAATTAAATTTTTAAAAATAAATAATTTTTATGGACACAACTGATGTATTTATTTGATTGAATTCATATGATTTTTATATGTGGTTAACACATTCACACCCAACCAAACAAAACAAAAACTTAATAATAAATTTTATTTACTTAATATATATATATATAAATTTGCACAAAACAATTAAAAAAAAAATAATAATAAATTGTTAACTATTTTTTTATTTATTAAAAAAAATAAACTTAATTTCTCACTTCTATCTTAAACAAACAATTCAAAACACAAAAATAGCAATATATTGTATTATAACTATTAATTTTTATCAATTTTTAGTTTGTTGTTTAGTGTATATATATATATATACACATTTGTTGCTAAAAATTATTATTAATTTTAATTACAATTAATTTTAATAAACTCAACAACAACAAAAAAACACAATTATGTAGATATTGTATTGTTGGCAAAATTTTTTTTAAATAATTTTTATTTATTTTATTTTTTTTTGATAAATTAAATCAAATCAATCAATGGTCCACTTTTTTTTATTGAGTTATTAGATATGAGTTGAAGAAATTTTTTTTTAATATTTTTTTTGTTGTTTGTTAAACAATGATTTATCAAAAAAAAAATAATTTTTTTTAAAACATAACTTTTATACACAGTTTACAAGTAGTAGTACAGGTATTTATGACTATACTAGAAACATATAATACATTTTATTATTGTGTATAAATAAAATATCCAATAAATATATAAACTTTTTTTTGTTGATTGTTTGTTATTTAGTAGTGAAAGTATACTATAATTTTTTTTACTAAATATTGTGTATATATATATTTGTTGTCAATATTTAATCAATAATAATAATAATAATAATATATTATATATAAATATAAGTTAAACAATATATCACTAATTGGCAATAATTTTTTTTTGTTGAAATTTTTTTATTGTTATTATTAGTTTAATAGTTTTTTACAATAAAAATTAAACCACACACACATACACCACAAAAATATAATAAAGGTGTGTTTAAAATATTATTAATAATTGTAATAATAATAATAATTTTTTTAAAAAAAAGTTAAATTCACTTTTTTTGTTGTTGAAAAAAAAATCAATTTAATAATATTAATTAATTAATTGGATATTAATTAAAAAATTATTATTTAACTAATAATTTAAAAAAAGTTAAATACACAAAAAATCAATTTAATTATATTAATTAATAATTATTATTTAACTAATAATTTTTGTTTAAAGAAAAATTTAAATTCACTTTAAAAAAAATCAATTTAATAATTATTATTTAACTAATAATTTTTGTTTAAAGAAAAGTTAAATTCACTTTTTTTTTTGCAAAAAAAATCAATTTAATAATATTAATTAATTAATAATAATAACTGGATATTAATTAAAAAAATTATTATTTAACTAATAATATCTTTTTTTTTAGCAAAGTTGTCGATATGTTGGACCTGTTTTCTGGTCTGAAACGGATTATTAAACGAAGAGCCGTTCACATCGATAATGCAGTCTTTCGTCTTCATTGGCTTTTGACAGCCATTTTGTTGATCGCCTTTTCGCTGGTCATCACTGCCCGACAATACGGTAATTATTTTATCATTTATTGTCTATCTGTCTGTCTGTCAATACATTTAATATTATTCAATATATAATCATAACATTAATAATAATATACAAAATATACAATTAAAATGTTAATTTTACTGTATTTAATAAATTTTATCATAAAATTTATTTATTTTGTCATGTATTGTATGTAATGATTAAATATAAAATTATTTTTTTTAATAATTTATTATTATTACAACAATAGTGATGAAGCATTTAATATTATTATTTTGTTTCATAAATTATAATATTATCTATTAAATATTTGAATAATATTTTTTACAACATATTATAATTTATATTTAATTTTTTTTTAAATATAAAATAGAAATTCAATAAAATT